ATAATGCCAACTAACCTCTTTTCTCAACCCTACAGGTTCTTATGAAGCAGGCAGGTCTAAAACTTCATGATAATGTAAGCTCAGTTCCTGAATCCTCTATTTGCCTAGCTCTTTCTAGTTGCATGCAAGGTTTCCTTGTTAATTTAGAGACACTCAGACACAATCAGTAAGCTGGTGTCACGTGTAGGCTGGTTAGTTGCTTGATTGGCCTTCAAAAGACTTGATGAGTTAATTTGCACCAACATTCTGCCAAGCCACATATGTGCTCTGGTAGAGGCATCGAGACAAATGCTGGTGTGCTCTAAATTATTACATGGATGACAGTGGCCTATCTGTAGCAAGTATTATTGACACTTTCCGTAGTGTGCCAGGATTTGGGTCAATCTTTACTATAAATCAATCCTTTAGATGTTCTGTTTCCAGCTTTGTTCCCAGATTCTGATTCTCGTACTATTTTCTGTTTGCCATGCAGGTTATTTATCTGAATGTGGTCAGTGGGTTCGAGCTGACGGAGACTGCAGGAGATCTAGCCATAGCAGCTTCGATTTGCAGCAGGTCATTCTTTTTGTGGTTTATGTTTTGGAGATCTTAATTACTCCCTCCTTGAGTGGGTTCTGTCAATATTTCTGCCTATCTGTTTGTCGAAGTAACCCGTTTCCTCCTTGTTTTCAGTTTCTTGGAATTCCCTATCCCAAATGATATTGCATTTATTGGAGAGATTGGCCTTGGTGGTGAACTTAGAACTGTAAGTTTATATGTTTTTCTGCTTTGTGTGACCCTTGTTGGCTGTGAATATTCTTAGTTGGCACTTGCGGCTTATAGGGAAGAGCTTGTGTTTGACGAGGAAAACGTGCCTTTGGAAGATAACAAGAAGATGTTAATTGGGGAACAGGATCACCTATGTTCTTTCCCCAAGCCTGTAAGGCTATAATAGTGCTTAGCAATTGTTATCTCCAACCATTTTACTGAAGCCAATAAATATTACTACCACCAGTAGTTTTTGCAGAGCCATGGAGCTATTAACAGGTTCATAGGAGAAGTATGCCCCACTAACCATGTTCCAGCAACTACAGTGCCCTGACCTGGAAAACAACTTAATTAGCATTTTTTTTTCCCTATATTGTGATAGGATATGGTTCCCATGAAGAATTTGCAACACTATTGAGTACATGTAAGCCATTTATTGGCTTGTATGCTTCTCCTAATTATGCAAATGCATGTTACAATGGCTAACCTTTTGCTATACCTGATGTAGTTCTCACGTATGGATTTTATACATGCAAAAGTGCAAAATAAATCTTTTGGGTCAAGCAATTTACCATAAATTTGTTTAAATGGATATTGGTTTGTAAACGCCGCAGGGGGAAGAAGCCCCTGGGTCTTTAATTAAGCAGAGTGTGTGACAACCCGCCGTTGCGAGCATGGAAGTTCGAACGCGGGTGGGCAGGTGCGCATCAGCCCGCCCGTGTCAGCCGGGCTATGCCTCGGTCCACAATCCACAAGAAAACAATCTGTTCTTCATCATTTTGGACATTATTTTTGCTACATGTATTTCATAGATACATTGCGAATAAATGCTAGTGAATTTCTGACCACCCATCTAATACTAGTATTGCTTGTTGTGTCAAGTGGTCATGCATAAACGAGGAACTCAAACTGTTGGAAGAATAATCTGTAATGTATGTGGAAAATATGCATTAGTACTGTCGCTTGGCCTGCAGAGAAATAAATCTATTTACTATTGGAAGTACACCCTATGTGGCAACAATCCCCTATCACTTTGTTCATCTTTCAGTTTGTCCCATACACTCCAATTTTGCAGAAATTACAGAGAAATAATATGTCCAAGGAAATTTGCATTTGCTTATCCAATTTTATTTTGTCATGGTTGATTGTTTATTATTTTTGCCTGATCTATCTGAGTTCAAGTTTCTTTCATTTCTCCCTCTTTAAGGTGCCAAGAATGGATAAGCGGGTGATGGCTATCGCAAAGTTGGGCTACAGGAAATGCATTGTCCCCAAGACTTCGGAGAAGCTGCTCAAACCTCTCGATCTCGATATCCAGATCTTGCCCTGCAACAACCTGAAGGAGTTCATAAACACAGTGTTCCGGTCAGAAGTATGATGTTACATCCTGGCAGCGTGCTCTTCTTACAACTAGCTGATTGAGTGACAGTAGGTTTTTAGCGTGCCTGGGTCCATTGGTCAACCATAACTTGTTCGCTCATTTGAAGTGCCATTTTTACACTTCAACCGATCAAATCCCCAGTCATTTTGTGCATGATCCTTTTGCTAGGAACTACGGCTCACCACTCCATGCATGCATGATGTAAATCTTTGTCATCCCATCCTGGTTATGTATATACTCCCTCCGTTCCTAAATATTTATCTTTCTAGATATTTCAAATGGACTACCACATACGGATGTATATAGACATATTTTAAAGTATAGATTCACTCATTTTGCTCAGTATGTAGTCACGTGTTGAAATCTCTAAAAAGACAAATATTTAGGAACGGAGGGAGTAGTTCTGTTTGCCTTTTGTTGCATGGGCTCAGGTTCCACGATGGTTGATAATGAAAGGTAAGGAATCTTTTGTATTAACCAGTGTCCTTGTTCTTGTCATTTTTGGGGCTTCTTTAGTTAACAGGATTTCAGAATATGATGGAAATGGAGTAGAAGTTTGATGTCATGATATGTGGAAACCTACGGGACTGAAACACAAGAATTCCTCGTAGCCCATGTAAATATGTACACGAAGCGTTATATGCTGTAACAATGCCAAACTATCTTGTTCTATCACATGCCTCATTGCTAAGTACCACTACCATCAAGAACATAGTCAGAAAACTTTGAATTCAATTTTAAGCCAAGGCCTTCAGTTGAAGGTCTGAAGGCCTTGGTCAGCATTTGGTTTATGAGTCTGGCTAGGATTTATAGGCCTTTGATTTCACTAATAAAATATGTATAAAGGCCTAGAATCCATGCCCTGACTTGTCTCTCCCTAATAATAAAGCACGGATTGAGTTTGTCGGGTTCATCGTCACAATACGCTTCTTCCCGTGATTTTACGCTTTCAGTTTTTTTTCAACACGTCCATTTTTTTTCTTCAAAATCCAATGTGGTACTAATCTGCCTTATTTTGCCATCCTTGAAACGCCAAAAGATTGTAAAAAAGGCAAAAAGTTGCGTTAACCCGGATTCAAATCAGGGTCGCTCAGGGTTACGCCTTGCACCGCTAGCCAATTAGGCCAGCTCACCTTTCATGTTATCTCAAAGAAACTTAAACTATTTGAACATTTAATTTCTCCAACACATGGGTCGAGCTGGGCCACTCCAAGGACGCACCCAACTAAATAGGCTTATTTGTTGCTAGATAATTAGTCCCACCTCGCCCTTTTCAATTTAATTGCACTGATTTATACAGGTATATGAGTTGTATGATAATCAACAAGGAGCCTCGAAGATTAACTAAGGAAGGATGAGACGTGGGTCGGCCAAATAGAGGGTGCATGAGAAAAATAAAGAGAAGGAATGAGTCGTTGCTGCATGAGAGATAAGGAGTGAATGAGAAAGGAAAAATAAAAGAAGGAAGGAGTCGCTGCTGGGTAATGAAAGAAAGGGAAAGAAAATATATGCTAAATGCATATACAAGAAGGAAGGAATAGCTGCTGAGAAAGGAAAGAAAGAGAAAGGAAATATATGCTAGAAGGAAGGAATAGCTGCTGAGAAAGGAAAGAAAGAGAAAGGAAATATATGCTAGAAGGAATGAGTAGCTGCTGAGAAAGGAAAGAAAGAGAAAGGAAATCTCATTAACATAAAAAGGTAACAATTTTTTTTCTATAGTTTTTTGATTATTTGTGAAGTTTAAGTGGTATTTTTTCAACTATTTAAGCATTTACTTATTTCATACCCAATGCAACACACGGGCCCTTTTGCTAGTATATAGTTATATACCCAACTGGTCGAAGCAGAAACAAAGGTAGAGCAAAACCCTTCAAAAATTTAGTAAAATCAAGCAAAGTTTGATTTTGGGGCAAGATTTCAAAGTTTTTAATAAAATCAACCAAAGTTTGATTTCGAGTCAAGATTTAAAAGTTTGAGATTGAATTTGTAGGGCCTTGCCCTCTCCGAGGAGAGGGAGCCCTTTCAGAAATTCTCAATGACCCACGAGGGCCAAAGAGGGGGTTTGGAAATAGTTTTCAACCAGCAATTGACGCGCCTCGGTATTACCTCACTAGCTGCGTCATTGCCCCAAGCGCAAAGATGCCTTCTTCCGTTCGCCCACGGCCCCTTCTTATACCCACCTCCATCCCTGCTACCTCTCTCCGTGAGCGAGGTGGGACTAATCGCACGATGCAGCAAACCAACCGGAGGTACGTATGGGCAAGCTAGCTCTCGTGGGCCGCTTCTCTGCTCAAGCCTCTTTCTTTGTACTGCACGGGAAGAGCTTCGGCCCATGATGGTCCGATTAGGAGGGCTCCTTGCCAACGTATTGTTTTTCGCTTCGATTTTAGGAAAAAGAACCATTCGAAAACATACTCTACCTTCACATTTCCATCTGCTCAAAACATGCAAGTGCATTTTTTTCTGCCGTGTATAAATGATGACCTTAATTATTATTTGTGCCTTACTTATTATAAACGGCAACAAAGGGAGAACTATCTTTCAACATTCATGAACAGAACAAGGCCACTCATGCCACAAAGAAACCCCAATTTAACATAATAGTATAATACTCGCCTGGTTTTTTTTTTCACACATGGTGGATGTTTAATTAACCCGTAAAAAGGTTGACCGGTTCCTGCCGGTAACTGGTCGAAATCGAGAAACTGATTTCCTTTATTGCCGTTTATAAATCGTAAAAAGGTTGACACAAATATCTGGAAAGTCCAGCCAACTGTGCATATTTATTTACCACTGGAATTTCAACTGGAGGAAGAACTAACTAAAGCGTGACTTGGCAATTGGAAGAACCAACAAATACAGCTGGCGGGTACTAATCGATGCGGACTTTATCTTCGACCTTGGGGTTCGAAGGCGAGCCGTCCAAGAGCTTGGCTGTCCTCTCGTCCTCGACCTTGGCATCGTCGACGTCTTGCTTGCTGAGGAAGCTCGGCTGGTTGGTGGAGGAGAGAAGCCTTGCCCACATCCTGTCAGTTATCGAGACCTTGTTCTGCTTCTCTGTGATCCTCTGCAGTTGGCGAGCGGAGCAAAGAACCGGTTATGGAGGGCACTGGAACAGTTCATAAATCAAACATTGTGGTTCTGAATGCGGTGCTTACGTACAAGGGAATGTAGCAGTGCCGGCCGTTTACTTGGCCGACAGTGAAACCGGTGTATCCAGCCATGGCTCCGTGGACCACACTGTGAGCCAGCAATGTGCAGTAAACATTATCCGATGCGTTGCTAGGAATGGCGCGTATCATGTATGTAGGATCTGCAAAAGACATGGTTGTGTGAAATTAAGCACCGACTTACTGTCAGACTGAGAAAGTTGAGAAACAACTGACCACTGACCTATGTACTTCAGATTTATGGTTGTCTTGTTTTTCTTGAAATGCTCCTGAATTTGCACCCAAAAAAAAAAAGTGTCAGCTAGCGCAGAAAGGAACTAAAAAAAGTGAAATGTCAAACCACACAAAGTAGACATATGGAAGATGCAAAGCGAATTTCCAAGAGTCTCACATTTATCTTCTGAGACAACCAAAGACCAACATCAAGAAGCAGTGCGTTGCCAGAAGCATCTTGCCCCATTTCCTTCATGTTTTCGGCAATAAGTTTCTGTCCTGCACCCTCCGCAACGACAATGACCATATGGCCATTCTCCTTCAGACGCTTTTCTATATATTTGAAGAGCCCACCTTCACCTTCCAGATAGAAAGGTGACTCCGGAATCAAGCAACAATCCTAATACACAGAAAATGACAAAATGTGTGTTTGTTCAGTTGACAAAAATTAAGCCCTTATCTTGAGTGTAAAGTTACAATTAAAAGTTTCCACTTTCTGGAGAAGTTAACATACCACATCTCTGCTTGCTAGGGTGGCATAATGTGCGATGAAACCTGCATCAATAAAAAATAGTACTGGATCAAAAATATGGTATAGAATAAAGAGTAAATGGGCAAACTTACATTATTACTGTCAAAGTTGCTACAGCACATAGGTATGTTCGGTTTTAAAAGAAGTGTTGCATTCACAAACAGGGGGAACAAACCAAATGCTACCCAAAAGAATGTGGAACACCCACAACCCGATAAGGTGGCATATGTCAGCTACTGCCATGTGTTTTACTTGCAACAGCACGGAAAGTAGCACAAGACATGCATATAAATTAACAACAAAACTGAACAGGTTTTGTTTAGATTTCTTAGAGCAGTAGATAACAGTTAGGTTGTTAACATCAATAAGTAATAGTAGAACTTCACACGAAATTGTTAATAACGACACTATATCTAAGAGTTCCAAAAGAAGCACTGGAACTTCTTTAAAGATGCTCATTTCAGAAAATGTATTAAGAGGCAACTTTTTCAGCTAAATGTGTCAAAGGAGAAAATTGGCTGATAGCATATCATATTGTGTCCAAGTATACAGTTGGCTACTATAAACTTACCACTGTATCGTCCCATTAGCTTTACAAGGCCTATTCCATTGTCAGCACTTCCAGCCTCTACATGAGCGGCATTTATGGCACGTTGAGCTTCCTCGACTGCACTGTCGAAACCAAAGGACTTATCAATTACCTGAAACAAGGGTAGCAATCCATTCAGGGATACAAAGGGAAGAATGTATTTTCACCGTAATATCATTATAGCATGGAGCGGAGTATTACCGGGATGTCATTATCAATAGTCTTAGGAATGCCAGCAACAGCAACTTTGAGACCACGCTTTCTGACCTCCTGAGTTAAGATTCATGCAAACAGTACACTTACAACCTTGTTTCAGCAAAAAAAAAAAACAATGTACGGTTGATTTAACATCAGCAGAAAAAATGTTACAATATACAGGTGATTTAATATCAATATGCCATTTGATTCACATTATAAGCTATACAGGATATTATAACCGACAAAATGTTGAGAGTAAGAGCTCTAATTCAATTAGATTAAAGAAAGCTTTGTTCTGGTTTATAGTTGAGCTTACTTCAAAAATCACTCCTGCACCCCTTTGACTACCATCACCACCAATAACATACACCTGAAGAAAAAATGAGAGAGTGAAACCAATGCACAAGCTTACGATGTCTAGGTTTGAAATAACTTTTACTACTATAAGCAAGGGAAGAACCTAGTGATCTTAAAGGACAAAGAAGGAAAATAGTATAAATGGTGTTTCTTTACTTCACCTGATTTATACCACGGTACTGAATGCTATCAACAATCTTCATGGTGTCATGGCCTCCTCGTGACGAGCCAAGAATAGTTCCGCCCCTTTTGTGAATGTCATTTACACTCTTTGGAGTCAAGTCGATGGTATTCCGAGCGTAGAAACCTCTATACCCACCCTACACAAAAATAATCATAATATTAGAAGACAGAGAACCAATATATCGATATCTCTGTTTCTTGTAGGCCATTGTTATTGTTTTTCCTATGATTCCTAATCCCACACATAAAAAACGTACTGTAATCCAGTTTGTAAGTGAAAAGAATCTGCAATAGATGTACAGCATAATCCACGTGACAAGTTTGCTAGAATATTTTCCGGCTCTAGGTCTAATTATTGAATACTCAATTCTATAAAAAAAAAATGAATCCTCAAACTGGAATATATATCCATTATCCATACTTGGCTTTTGCATGATGCATCTTCCCGAATAACAGGTTGGTGTGATTGGACAGTTGTAACAGAAATAATGAAAGTGTATACCAGTTATCCCAGGATACAGAAAGAAGCAACAGAATCCAGGGGGAAAATAGCCTCTTGGTATTGAATTTTGTGATGCAATGTAATTGAGCAGCAGCTTACCTGAATCCCAAGTATCTTGGTAACACCATACATGTCAGATAAGCCGCATACAATTTCCCTAATCACAGTATTAAGTCCAGGGCAGAGTCCTCCACAGGTGACAATGCATGCATGGACCTCGTCAGGTTCAAAATAGACCTGATGGAGACAAAAATGAGGTTAGAGAAAAATCCTTCTCTCTGCAATCGCTATGTAAGCATAAACACGGCGTGATATACCCTTTGGCGAGGTCCAGCACGACGGAAGTGGTTTCCTCTTGGGCCATCCTTGTGGACAACAATCTGCATTGAGACGCACAAGACACCGTATCAAAGTTAAACCAAAGAAAGTACTTGTCATTTTGTTGACAGAGAGGAAACACGTCTACACAGCGAACTTCACAAGAATTCACCTTCTGACAGACAGTGTCATCCGGATCAACGAAGTATTGCCTGCAAACAGAACATTTGGTTTTCAAGTCAACAACAGTATATAGAGGAAAACCGGACAGGAGTAAACCCAGTTAGCAGCAACCGAGTATGCTGTGTTATCTTGCAGTGGGTTTGGGTAGGTCTGTCAAATCAAACAGCAAAATGGTCACCATGATCACAATGGTCACCATGATCAGTGGCGGCGGCGTCGGTCAGCGACGACGACGCCATGGGCGAAAGCGGCCGCGGGGGAGGGCTCCATTGTGCTCAGATTGGGGCTGTTTTTTTTGGCGGGGCGGCGAGGGCGACGGCGACGGTGGCGCGTGGTGCGTGGCGACGGAGGGTTGACGGCGACGGGAGGGGGACGGCCGAAGAGTACGGCGCAGGGCAAAGCATTGGAGGACGAGGGGTGGACCGGTGGACTGACACTTGTTCCAGCCGGATAGGTTCCAGCCGGGATTCGTCTGCCGCTTGTCTCCGCCTTGCAGATGCGCACGTAGACCGACAATCGTCTTTTCTTCCCCTCAAAAAGAAAAAATTTCTTCCTCGTGATGATTGGCGGCGTCTCCTTTCTGTGCATTTTTCACGAATATAAGATGGTACACGTACGAACGGAGGAGCTCACATTCCACGTCCTCCTCCATCTTCATGTATGGTCGGGACTACGCCTCCATGTTTATCTGCTCTACATATTTACTTTGACTACAGAACCAGAATGGAACCTACTCGTTCCCACGGAACGAATATTCTGTGTATATGCGGAACCAAGCGATACCTCCAAATCGGGCGAACCACGTGGAACGGGCATCTCTTTCCCCTCCCCAACTCGCACGCACTCTCCAAATCTACGCGCCCACCTCTCTCCCTCTGTGGCGCCGGCTGGCTGTCACCTCCCCGTCGTCTCTCCTCCCGCTGATCTTTCTCCCACACATCCGGCCATCTTCATCTCTCCCAGCGACAGAAGGAGGAGCGGAGCGGCCATCCTGCCGCGGACACATTCAGGGAAAGGAAGGAGGAGCGGCGGTCCCGTCGCAGGCAGGTCTAGGCGGCAGAAGCTGCTTGCTGCGCGGCTGCAACAGCTACGGAGGAGGCACATCTAAGAGGCGGAAGCTTGGGCGGAGCAGCATCGAGCTTGGGTTGCGGCAGTTGCTCGTGGTTGGCCGAGTTGCGGCCTCATCTGCAGACAACGACGTACATACATCCAGACACTACACAGGAATTGGCATGCGGCGGCTACGCCAAAGTGGATCAGGCTCTGCTCCATGGCGCTCATCTTGCAATTTGTGCATACCCATTGACCATTTATCGAGAATTCTTTCTAAATTTGTTTGTAAATAGTTTGCGTATAGATTATTGATGTCATTTATTTGGCATGATTGTGAAGCAAAATACAACTGTAGGTGATGAAAAAAAATTGCTTTGATATTTAAATAAAATGCTTGCAAAAATACAAATTACTGGAAAAGCAAACACTACTTTTAAAAATTCACTCCATTCCATTCCACCAACCAAACATAGAAATGTAACCGTTCCATTCCAACTCACTCTTCGTACTAAACACAGAGATGGAACCATTCCATTCTTGTGGAATGTAACCATTCCATTACATTCCACTTGGTTCTTCAACCAAACACACCCTTAGAGGGTACCCTTGAAACCGTACTTTATAGGTCACTTTAGTAGAGTGCGGGGCACATGAGAGCGCACCATGTGTCGTTTCCTAGTGTCGTGACACAGCACAGGTGCGCTCCATGCGAAGCACAGGCGTGCGGGTGGAGCACAAGTTTGATTTCCACAAAGTGTAGGTGTGCTTTGTTGCGAAGCACATGCTCCCCCATGGTGAAGCACGTGCAACTGAAAAGGAAAAAAGGGTTGTGCTCAACCGCGAAGCGTATATGTGCTACCGCGGGTAGCACGAGCGTGATCGAAAAGGGATAAAAAAAAGTGAAGCACAAGTGTGGTATGTGATCGTAAAAGGAGGGGAAAAAGGTGAAGCATAGATGTGCTCCCAAAGGTGAAGCACAAGTGTGCTTTACCACAAAGTGTGTGTGCTCCACGCGTGAAGTATGGGAGTTCTCCCAAAAGAAAAGAAGTGAAGCATATATGTACACCATGATATACTTCGTTGGAGAGCACGGATGTGCTTCACTATGAAGCATAGCACACACATGCTCTGGCAGAGCACGGTTATGATCCGCGCGATGGAGCATATAGAGAAAAAAGAAAAGAAAAATGTGAGCACGATCCCCTCTCAATCCACCACATGTCAAAACGGAGTGCATCAAAGATTGATCTCAGGTGTGCGACGTCGTGCGGAAGCCACGTACGAAGTCTCTCAAGGCATGGCCATCGCTTCAGGGTGGACCGCTGCCCCACGGATCCACGTCGGACGAGTTGCTGCTGTGGAGGAGAAAAGAAAAAAGGCCCTTGCTTGCAGAGCCAGACGGGATCTTGCGGAGGAGCATGCTTCCTCATTGAAAAAAGCAAAAGGAAAGGACGGACTAAAGGAGAGAAAACAAATGGAAGAATGAGCCATGGAGTAAAAAGTAGGAGGCAATTACACCCGTGGTGCTAGAACTTGGCGTAAACGGTCACTTTAGTGCTACAACTTGCGACATACGTTAAAGTAGTGCAAAAACTTGGCTTGAACGTGCAAATATGGTGCAAATCTCGTTTATATACGTCGGCGAAGCTGACGAGGCATGACAACATGGCATAGGGCCCGCTGTCAGTGACCATATGGCGAAGATTGGGTGTGTGGTGTTCTCTTTTGCAATAAAAACCTTAGATTTTTATTTTTCGTTTTTTTCTCAAGTAAAGGCCCTGATCAGGTGTACACACAGTATCTTCGTGTGTGGCATTGGGTGGTCCCACCTATCAGCCAAACATCACAAATTTATTAGTATTAGAAAGAAAAATAGGAGTCAGGCAAGGATTCGACCCGTTGACGTATAGTCAGCCAAGAGCACGGCTAGCCAACACACATAACAGTTGTTGTCATATAAGGATACTCAGACTTTATATCTTTGTTAAATAACAAAAAATAAGAATTGTAATTCAAAAAATAAATAAATAAATACATCCGTGGGATTTCGTACCAGCGACCTGACAGTTACCACGAGGAGGACCTAGCAAATACTATACAACAAACGGCAGTTCGTGCCTTAATAGGATTGTTAAGCTTTATACAACAGTTTAAACATGTTAGTTTTTTTTCTTTACTTCTTTTTAGCCCCACAAAATGTAAACTCTAAGTGTACGCATAATTGAAAAAACGTTTGCATTTGAGAACCTGTAGTCCGAGGCACACTAAGCTGATTCTTTGCACATATATTTATATTAATTTCATAATACATATCTAATTTTTAGAAAACACACACATTTTATTAAACCAACATTAAAACATTAAATCTTTCACAATTTTATATACAACATGAATATTTTATAAAAAACCCTTGTACTTTTTTTGAACTGATATGATAAATTTTTTAAATATTCATATTTTCTAAAATTACTTTTATATTTTATTTAATATGAAAAACATTTTAGTCATACAATTAATTCATAATTTAATTTGATAGATTTCTTAAAATTAATATATGAGCATTTTTTATTCTAATATATTTTATTTATATGTACATTATTTATAATTACAATTTACATTTCTTTACAACTTTCGAAAAGTGAATAAAAAATTGTAGCCCAGGAGAACGTTCTGTTAGACATAAACTGTAACTATTATATTTACACATGAGAGTACATAGTTGGAGTGGCACGCCCTCCTAATTGTTTTACCTGGGTAGCTAGCTTGAAACCCATGAGCGTAACACTTTTTACGGTTAAAGTTCTTTAGTTATGTTATTATACTTAATTCAAAGATATAAGACCTCCGTATGCTTCAATGACGTGATGTGAGCTATTTGTGGATGGTTAGCTGCGCACGTTGTTTAGGCTGAGGTCACTGGTACAAATCCCTCTGCGGATTATTTTTCATTGTAATAAAATTAGTGATGTTTCACAGACAAGCGGGACCCACCGGATGCCACATATCTGACAGGAGCCTTTTCATGAGAAAAAAAAAAGAAACCCGAGGTTTTTTTGGCAGTCACTGACGGCGGGCCCTATGCTATGCTGTCATGCCTTGTTAGCATCGCAGCCATATGCAAACGAGATTTGCACCGCATTTGCACGTTCGAGACAAGTTTTTTGCACCACTTTAATGTATGTCACAAGTTCTAGCACTAAAGTGACTATTTGCGCCAAGTTCTAGCACCACCGATGTAATTGACTCAAAAAGTAGTGACGGAGAGAGATAGGTGGACCACTAGAAGAGCTGCTTCTGATGGGCGTGAGATGTTCATTCGGTGGCCTCATTAATATATTTTTCTTAGTGAAGGCTGAAACCACATAGTTCATGCCCTCAGTCGTTGAGGATCCGTGCAAATTTCCTTTATCTCCTGATTTCAAATATTCGAGGCCGCTTTTTACGCCGGTAATCGGGGCCAGAGCTGCCGACCAAGCTGCACCTCAACGTACTAACCTAACAGTGAACATCATCTTTCTCCTTTCCAACCCAAGTTCGTGTAAGTAGGTCATCCACAATTCCACTTCCACATACATACA